AAGTATTTTTTTTTTTTTTTTTAGACTTTAGAAACTCAGAAGCTGATCAAATATCGGGTTAAATATCGGTATCGATATTAAGTTTTAAGGCCGATACAGGCCGATACCGATAGGGGGGGCGATTATATCGTGCATCCCTAGTAAGAAATGCTGTTGAATATATTTATTTTGCCAATGATAATCTTTTCCCTACAGCCTTTTAACACAGTCCAGGACCAAGCGAGCCCAGGCTGCTCAGGAATTAAGGGAAAGAGAGGAAGTGGAGAAGGAGCTCAGTGTGGTGAAAGCCTGGATCCAGGAGACCAGAGAGCTTCTTCTCAATCCCACACCGGATATTGATTCTCTGTTACAGGAGCTTGAGGTGCGTCTGCCAACATAAGGCAGTAGAGGTGTATCTGTTGTTGGGAAATGTCCAACCTTTCTTCCTTCTACTGCTTTGATCTGCAGATGTGGTTATACCCAAATCCGACACATATTTAATATAGATAATGTGAGCAGAAGTGGAAGTCATACTGCCTGTATGAGAGCAGTTATTGTAAATGTTATCATTAACAATCAATTAACATGTTTAGCACTAGTAACAGAGTTTTTTTGTGTAAATATGTTGATCTTTCTTTTTATTTTAAATGTTTTTTTTGTGTGTTTAGGTCGTTCATGGGGAAGTGATCAATTATCGGCAGAATGTAGACAAGTTAGCCGAACAACAGCAAAGCAAGTACCTGGATCTTTACACAATACTCCCTTCTGAAATCTCCATGCAACTTGCTGAGGTCTCTCTTGCGCTGGGGGCCATTGAAGATCAGGTATGTTCGACTTAATTATATGAGAAATTCAGAGGTCATCAAACAGTTTGGTCCTTCTGGTATTCATTTTGTGTCTTTTTTGTCTGATGTTCCAGGTTCTATGTAAAGAGAGAGAGTACCAGAGAACTAGAGAAATAAAGGAGGACTTCAGCTCAAGAATCCACGCCATGTCAGAAAAACTAAAGATGATCTCAAATAAGTTTAAGGAGAAATCTCCTGATGTTGACCATGCTAAAGAAGAGGTCAAGGTATCAGTCCAGTTGATATAAAACACTTTTAAAGATGATTGGCCTTGCTATGAACAACAAAGAACACACAATTGTTGCTTTTTGTCCTCAGAGTCTTTTTGAAGATCTGGACTCCTGTGGACGCACATTATCAGAGCTTGATGCCGCTGTACAGGAGTTTGGCCGCAGAAACCCCCTGCTGGCCAAACAGCTCAGTGATGCTATAAACAAGCTGTCAGAGATGCATCACCACACCACTCGGTTAGCAGACTGTCGAAACAACTGGCTCAAAAAGGTTGGCTTTTTATTACTACTTACCTAACATGATTAACCCTCTTTTTTTCAGTAATGTATTAACTCATCACTGTATTGATATTTTCTGAACCTTTACACATTTTGTCACCCTACCACTAAAAACTCCAGTACATTTTAATGAGGTTTTACATTAAAAGGCATCATAAAGTCAGGAGTCATCTAATTGGTGGAGGGAGTCCACCAGTTTGTCATAATTAAAGGTCAGATGTTTGCTGCAGATTATTCAGGAATAAACAGCATCACTAAGACCAAGAATCAGGCCAGACAGGTCAGTTAGAACGTCTTTTGAAACAATTCAAAGCAGGGTTAGGTTATGGAATTTAATTCCAACACAGCATGAGAATTTTAACAGAACTGAACCGTAAACAAGCAGCCAAGAAAGGAGGCTCTGCAAGAACAAAATGTAATCTTTGTATGTGCAAAACTCTACCCTAACTGTAACTCAAAAACAATTAAAACTGCTGTAGGTGCAATAAAAGTTAGTTTTTAAAAGTTAGCTCCTTGGTTTATGTCCTAATTTTCTTTCAGTTTTGGGGATGTTTTTCCATATACTGCCGAGGTAGGGTGGAGGTTGGATGAGGACCCAAATGCAGAGATGGGTTTTGCTGATTTA